TCCACCACTTTGTATTTTTTTTTGCTGTGTTCATCCAGCTCTACACCTTGTTATCTCTTAACCAATACCCTTAACTATTTATACACTAATCGTGTTGAGGAACTGGTGTCTCAGTAAACAGCATCACTGTTTATTTCCTTAATTAATCTGTGGGTTAGAGGTCAGAGATTTTAACATTTCTGATTTAAAGAAAACTTCCAAAACCGCTAATTTTCCTGAATGGTCATGAGCCCGAACCAATAACTCATTTCTCTTTACACCGATGACTACAATTTCCACCACTTTGTATTTTTTTTTTAATTGAAGTGTTAACAGTCCCAAGTATTTTGCTTGTAAATAAACACATTTCTAGTTAGTCACTTTGGACAGTTTTTGATTCACTCAACCCCATTTTATGATCAGATAATACGTGTACTTAACGTGCATGTCTCACCTTGTTGTCATCAGAGAATGAGGAAAGAGTCTCATTTAATCGAACACTCTCAAACTCCTGATTGTTAGCATACACCCGGAAGACTTTAAACTGGGATGATGGAACTCCAATATATGGCTCCAACTGCTGCTTAAAGGCAGCCAATGTGATGCGTTTATCAACAAACACCAACAAACCTGTAAGAATAAAGTTAATATAAAAACATGGTACAGGAAAGGTGATTCTCCAATTCCATTTTAACACATTTGCTCAAATCATTTCCATTTATTTACAGTTAAGTAGACATTGCTAAATTTCTTCAAGCTGAGTTACAAGAATCCCAGTGGCACAGCACACTGCTACAAAACTATTAGTACCGCAACAGAGATCTTTTATCACTAAAGACACTTTTAACACTACTCACACTGCTATTTTGCATTATCTGGTCTCACCCTGGTCAGTATCAAGACCAAAATAAACATGCAGATGTGCACTAGCAAGCATCAGGCAAATACAGTTTTACAAAAATATTAATCCAGGTTTTGTCTGAGTGCCATTTTAGCACCCTTCAGCGCAAAAACATTTTGTCCTGTAAATTGCTAATTCAGCACTGTGAACACAAGAGGTCATCTGCAACCTTACTACATGCCGGGCCAGTCTATTTGGTTACCATCTATGTGGGGGCAAGCATAGAGCAAAATAATCAAAATTACCAAATAACCCCAAAGAAGAGATTACCAAAGACTCCACCTACTGTAGTTTTTAACTTAAACATGAATTCAAGTTAACAAATTGAGTGTTAACAGACAAATCATATTTACTGGTAAAAATCACATTTGTAACACAATGTTTGGCCAAAAGAGAGGGGTGACTTTTACCCAAGTAGTATTTGCAAGGGGCTGAAATCCAGCCTCATATTCTTAGGTCAGAGACTATTCTTGCCAAATCCACCCCAGAAGCATAAAAGTAAATCAGTAATATTCTTATGACTGAAATTTTATTAAAATTGTGCAATTTTGGTCTTCTGTTGTTTCTCTTCATCAATCTCGGATGGCTTTGAAACCTGCAACGCCTTTGTTTTTGCTTGCTTTGGGCCAAAGATTCAGATAGATCTGCAAGTGGAAAGTCTATTCTGGCAACAGTTATTGATGTATTTTGCAGCTTCATTTTCCAACTGTGGCCACTGCTAGGCCTTCCTCTGTTTACTTATCTTTGCTTGAGCATTGAAAACTTCCTCCAATCACTAACAATCTTTTCCAACATCTTGTCTCCTCTAGCTGCTGCACAATCTTCTCATCAGTTGGTCAAATATTAGAAGGTAGGATTGGTGGGAATGCAGCACACACCATTGAGGTGGTGAACTTGACTGAATGTGACTTTACCAGTGAGCAAGGGGTAAACAGAATTTGGATTTTTGGTCAAAAGTTAGATCAATTTTTCCACAAGATCAACCATTACTTGATATATAGAATAATGAAAATTTCACTTAACATGGCCCACCACAAATGTATCTTACACAACCATTCCCTTCAGCATACATGACATTACATAGCTCCACAGTTTCACATTATTCTTTTCATTATTCAGACAGAGGAGGTCAGATAGGAAAGAACTCTGTTCCTAAATACACCATGAGTTTGATAGCAGGACACTGTTGCCGCACTCTTACGTTTTACAGTAGTAGTTTTGTTTTCGTTTTGTGCATTTCCTCTGCTGAAACATCTGTAGCCACACAGGTTCCGGCTTTTTGTTTTCTCCTTTCTGTTGGGCATTGTTTAAGTTCAAGGGTTGCCATGTCACATTGACCAGTATTTATTAACAGCCAAGAAAAGTACAATTGAGCTCTTTGCAACCGATATAAATTCTCCTTATTGTGCTGCTTCCGAAACAAAGATCATCACGCTGCTCCCCACCCGACTTTGGAAAATAGCTTTACCAATACTGAACTACATTTTTCTTTACAATAACACTCAAAAGTTCTTGACAACAAAATAATTTTAACAACTAGCACATCACATATTACACAGGAAACAATGATGCATCGTATTTACAAAACAAAAAAGCCTCAGTACAAACAGTGTTATTCTGAAATCTTATAAAATCTAGCTTTAAGACACTGTTTCCATCCTTCTCTAAATTTGAGAGTTCACAATCACATTGTTTCAGCTGGCAACATGTGCTACTTAAGAGTAAAGGCTACAGCACTAAACTCCAGTGAAACAGCCCAAGTTTCTTGGTTCTGAACTTTCCCAGGATCAACAGGGCTGTGGTTTGTGTACAGTAGTACCTTGGCTTTGCACCCTTTATTTACTTTTTAAAATCTGTACTGGATTATGCAGTCTGAACACTGGAATAGTATTAGTGAGGCATCAAAATGTTTAACAAATGCAAATTTTACATTGGTATGGCTATTTTCCTTTCTTAACTTATACATCTCCACCTTAGTGCCTCTAATCGTTAAGTAGAGTAGTCTTTACCTAATCATTATCATATTAATGTTCTGTAGAGTGTTGAGCACACCCTTTGAAGCTCTTTCCTAACAAAATACCTTGAGCAGTGCAGTTCACTGTTCTATCAGCCAATTTAAACTAATGGTGGCTTTTTAGAATGACAAGAAGTATATCTCCATTCTCACTAAATTTAGATACTAAACCTACACCACACGGACTGCAGGAGTTCACAAAGGCCTTCTCAAGGGCAATTAGGGATGAGCAACAAATGCTGATCTAAGCAGCAATGCCCACATTTTCTGAAAGAATTTGTAAAAAACCAAGAGAAAAATGTCAATATATGAAAATTAAAAAATTTTTGGGTCAGCTCCAACTTTCCTCAAAAAAACCCAAATTTGCACAATTGGAACTCATGCCTCATTTTGCAGTTCCCTTTTCTATCTTCATTCTCTTGTTAATTTGTCGCTTTTGAAGTATATTAGTTATAATGCTTTTTTAATTCAGGAATTAATGGGATACGTTACCATATGTTTTAAAATCTAACTTTTATTATAAGTAAATAGTGTCTTTTCCCCCTAATTTATCCTTATTTTTTCTGCTTAACAAATTGTTTTATTGGTACAACCAAACCTGCAAAACTGCTTGCTTACATTTCTGTGAGACCACCCTAACCAAAACAAAATATGACCTATCAAGCCAGATTTCAGTGTGGGATCTGATTTGTCCAGTAATAACATCAGCTGAGATTAGAATACCACCAGATGTTTCTAAAATATGCAACCAGACCAGATCTCAAAATTATTATTAATCATAGTGCCACATTGCAAAAGGAATAGAAGCCAGCCCATACCAATGTATGACACAAAAACCATGTAACAAAGAGTGTGCCAAACAACACTCAGACAACAATGTTTGTGAGGTGATAGCGAGTTACAAAACCAGCAAAACAAACAGGTGCAGAGAACAATGCATTCCTCTCCACTGTATATAAACACCAGATCAGGACAGGTTGTCAAACTTCCAAAGCGTTCCACTGAAGCCCAAAATGTTGATTTTGCAAATTCTGTTTTACTTGTTTATATAATTATCATATTGACAACACATTCTATCAGGTATGCGTGTTTGGGATGAGTTCTTATCTTTGGAAAGAGGGTTGGTGCTATGTTTTATTGTCAATATGCATTTAAGAAACATGATTACATCATCATTACTACGTCATAGCACGTGAGCTGAGAAGATAAAGATCTTGTATTCCTCCTTGCCTCAGACCTCGAGAACCTTGACATGCAACTGGAAGCATGCTGTAACTAAGCAGCTTAATGTTAGCTAAGACACTGATGTGCCTGAAGAATGTAACATTTGTACGTAATTCTTAACTGAAATAGATATCAAGTGGATTCTTGAATACCAAAATATTTACGTTTGCTTTCTTTTGTTACTGGACGTTACATAAGCATTGAACAAAAACAAAGTTGCTGGAAAAGCTTAGCGGGTCTGGTAGCATCTGTGAAGAAAAAAATCAGAGTTGACTTTTCAGGTCCGGTGACCCTTCCCTGAGAAACGTTAACACTGACTTTTTTTCTTCACAGATGCTGCCAGGCCCGCTGAGCTTTTCCAGCAACTTTGTTTTTGCTCCTGATTTACAGCATCCGCAGTTCTTTCAGTTTTTATTACATAAGCATTGCTCCATTAGGTAGAAACACCATGTTGGAAGCAAACTCAGATCAAATCAATCCCGGACAAGCCCACAGTTTTCTTGTATTCCCTGGGTGGGGAACCATAGATCAAAATAAACAAATGACAACCTCCCATCCCCCCAAAAAAATTCCCAAAAAGATTCTACTTTTTGTAGCTTCTACACTAATAGTGGCCAGAAAAGTGGCAAGTAGAATTCAATCCAGAGAAGTGAGGCAATGCATTTGGGAAAGACAAACAAAGCTTGACAATACGTAATAAACAGGATTTTGAATGGGGTAGAGAAAGTGAGTAATTTTGGAGTGCATGTCCATAAGTCCAAGAGGGTGTTACTAATAGGTAGATAAGATGATAAAGAAAATACATGGAATGCTTTCCTTTTTTGGATGAGGCAGTAACAGAAAGAGGGATAGAATATAAACAAAGCTTTTTTAAATTCATTCACAGAATGTAGATGTCACTTACTGCGCCAGCATTTATTACTCATCACTAATTGCCATTGACAGGGTAATGGTAGCTGCCTTTCTGAACCAATGCTATTTGGGAGTTCCATGATTTTGACCCAGCAACACTTTAGGAACAGCGATCTGGGTATCGTCCAGGTGTTGCTGCATTTGGGCATGGACTGCTTCAGTATCTGAGAATGTCGCGCAGACATCAACAAATATCCTCACTTTTGATGTGAGGATGGAGGGAAAGTCATTGATAAAACAGCTGAAGCTGGTTGGGCCAAGAACACTACCCTGAGGAACTCCTGAAGAAATGCTCTATACGGAGAATACCGACCTTAAATCACACAACCCTTTTTCTTTGTGCCACTTAATGGCTCCAACTATAGAAGAATATTCCTCCAATTCCATTGACACCAGGTTTGCTAAAGCTGCTTCATGTCACACGTGGTAAAATGTGGCCTTGATATTGAGGGCAGTTGCTCTCGTGTCTAGAGTTCAGCTCTTTTGTCCATGGTTTTAATCAAGGCTGTAATGAGGTCACGAGTTAAGTGAGTGGTCCTTATGGAGTCCAAAATGAGCAGTGAACTAGTTATTGCTAAGCAAGTGCTGCTCGACAGCACTGTTGCTATCACCTTCCATCACTTTACTAATGATCAAGTGTTGAGTGATAGGGGTGACAACTGGTCAGGTTAGATGTGTCCTGCTCTGTGTGTACAGGGCAAATTTGGGTAATCTTCCACATGGCAAGGGTTGTAACTGTACTGGAACAGTCTGGCTAGGTGCATAGCAAGTTGTGGAGCACAAGTCATTAGTACTATTGCAAGGATGTTATCAGGGTCAATAGCCTTGCACCATTTAGTGTCTCCTACACTTTTTGATATCATGTGGAATGAATCAAATTGGCTGAAGACTGGCACCTGCAATGAATGGGACTACTGAAGGAGGCAGAAATGGATCATCCACTCGGCACTTCAGGCTGAAGATTGCTGTGAGTGCTTCAGCCTTTACCTTTTGCACTGATGTGTTGGGCTCATCTACTAAAGGATGGGGATGTTTGTGGAGCTTCGTCCTCCAGTGAGTTGTTTGATTGTCTGCCGGATACGATGGGCTGAATGGCTTCTGTCATAACTTTTCTATGGTTTTAAATAAATCAGAACTGATGTCAATGAAACTTGAATTAAAAGGGAAATGATACTTTAAACAAACGTAAATTTCACTTTAAGTATTTGGAATAACAAATAAATGTGGTTGGATAGGATAAGCATTCGTACCATTTTCCATACGAATCTGGCAACATTTTGTATGGGATTATATTAGATTTAAACCACAGAAACACAATTCAGCCCAACAGACTAATCCTGATAGCAATTCTCAATACAAAAGTGGGTAAAATTCTGAAATTTGGGGTAGTGGTTAAAAACAACATTGTGAAGCCAACTGTATAGCACAGAAAGAAGTTATTTCAAAAATAGTTTGAATGACTATCTGCTTAGTTTAATTTCCCTTGCTCATCCCTCATAGCCCCATGAATCTTTTCTTTTAAAGTATACACTCAATATCCTTTTGTAAGTTACTGATTACTTCCATCATTCCTTTAAATAGCACATTCTTGATCACCATAACTTGATGCATTTTTAACAAATCTCTCTTTTGGACTTTGTTGCCAATTATCTTAAATCTGTGCCCTCTAGTTACTGACATTTTGCTAGCGCAAAGGTTTCTCTGTATCCACTCCAGCAGAACTGGTAACATAATTTATGTAAATTATGAACTTTTTTTGAACAGCCATGTTGATACACAATTTCAACATATAGAGGTGTGATTGTATGAAAACCTAAAAGTACAATATATAGTATAGGAATATTATAGCAGGAAATACTGAATTGGCTTTATTAACTTTTATAAGGACAGGAGCAAAATACTGTGCAATCTGTTACCAAAACGTATGATCTAGTCAGTTTCAAAGACTTCAAAGTCTAACACACTTTCTGTTGCAAATAAAACAGAGCAGATAGAAGCTTAATTATTGGATATCTTCTGTTGTTAGGAGAGTTGTCCCTGGACTTACAGCTGCTTTTAAGGCTTCAATTCCTTGATGAAATGAGAAACCCATAGAAAATGACATACTTTGTACTCCTTTCAATTTTTATACTGACATAAGTACCAACAGTGTGATAACAAACCATAGGGTACACAGACAAGATTTATAGCTTGCGTGCCCGTACTACATTTTGTCTGAAGTATAAAGTCTAAAGGTGTTGCACTTTTGTATAGAACCAATTAGGAAGCAGGTGCAGCTCTAGGGACCATCAGTCATCTGGAGACTATGGATGCTGTCAGAAATATACTGCTCATTTAATATGATTTACTGAGAGATTTACAATTAAGGTTATTTGAAACAGTACTTCTGTACTTTTCAGAAATACTGCAAGAATTATTCAATTGAATTATAGAAAATACTAGAAATTGTGATCATTCCAAATAGAGTATGATCTTTCTAAGACAGTTTGAAATGTGCCTACTTTATGTTGACACAATGGGAGCCTTTGATGTTCCAAATACACCCCGTCATACCATGCCATAAATTTAGTGATCTGGTGCAGAAACAAAATTTGCACGTGACTAAAAGCTCAAAAAAGATACAATTGCAATCTGGGCCACAGAATGGTGCACTCTATGGAAAATGTTTCATTTTCAGAGGCAGAGAATGAAACCAACCTGTAAAAGCAGCCCTCCCTCTCTCAGGAGGCCAGAATTACAGCTTTGTGCCCAACGGCTAGTTGCTTGTTGTATTACAATTGAAGAAATAATAGGGAATAGGGAATAATAGTGGTCTAATGGTTACAGCAAAGACAGTTTAATTGGCAAAATGTAAGGAGCATCAGAGGTGCAGGGGATGCAAAAAATAGTAGGATGTCTGTCTGTGCTTGCGATTGCATCTTCCAAGTTACTGATCTCAGGCACCCCACTGTGGGGATATACAACTATAGGCCATAAATTCGAAGAAGATATAATACTCAGTCAGCCGTGCAAGCATCCATCATTGAGCGTCAAGCACTTGACTGGGAATGATGCATAACCTGAGGATGAAATATAAATTAAACCTTTTTGTAAAGAGAGTGTCATGTACTTATTACAAAGTACTAAAGGAACTGTAATACAAATTTAGTGAACATTTAAAGTACCATCAAGCTTTACTGAATACAGCCTTCAACTTGAGACAAATTTAATTTCAAATGATTTCAAAAATGAAGTTTAAGTCCTGCTTGGTGCCCAAGGCTTCAGAGATTGCCACAGAAAGTGACTCAGAGAACAGTTCAAATTAACTTGCAGATTGGGAAAGGCAATTGGAAAATTAACTTTAAAACAAGAGAGATGTGGTGTTATTTTGGTAGGAACGGAGGAAATTGGCAGTACAGATACATAAATCTCAAAGTGACAGATTAATATGGCACAGAAAAGCAAACAAAAGAGTTCACATCTAGGGTGATACAATTTAAAAACAAACAGAAGTTACATGAAATTTGGATTGCATTTTGATTAGACCACAGGGAGTATAGTGAACAGTGTTGATCTTCAAAGTATAGCATTATTTTGAGACAAAGCAGAAGGTGTAAAAAAAGATTTTGGAATGATACTCATATATACCATCAGGAAACGGTGAGGCATTTACCTCCAGGAAAGGGAAGACGGAGAGTAACCTGATATGAAATCTTTAAGGATATGAAAAGTTTGGATAGGGTAGATGCAGAGAATGCAGTTCCACCTATTGGTGAGCCCAGAACTAGCAGTCATCACTGTAAGATGGGCACCAATAGTTTTAATTGAGATTTCAGAAGAAACCTCTTTACCCAGAGTGTGGTGCGAATATGGAATTTGCTACCATAAACAACAATTGAGACTAACAGCAAACATGCATTCAAGGAGAATACAAAAATAGTACACCATTCAGCTCTTCAAGCCTGAATCAATCACAAAGATTATTGCAATCTTTCAATTCTCCCCTACAATTCTGGGCTTTATATACCGACTCCCTTCATATCCAAAAACCTATGCTTGAATATGCTCAACAACTGATCTTCAGGAACATAGAATTCTAATTAGTCACAACTGTTTAAGTAAATGAATTTTCACCTTATTTCAGCCCAAGATTGCTGACTCCTTACTCTGAGACCAAAGACCCTAGTTCTGAATTCTCCAATTAGAAGAAACAAGCTCCCAACGTTCACCCTGCCAGACCCTTAAGCATTTATATTACAATGAAGTCAGGTCTTGTTCTTCTGAACTTTAGAGAACATAAGGAAGTATGATTAATACATTGCAGGTGCAAAATACTGCAAATGCTGGAATTTGTGCTGAAAACAAAAAATGCTGGAAATCACAGCGGGTCAGGCACCATCCTGGGAGAGAGGGCAAGCTAACGTTGACTCTGAATGACTCTTCTTCAGAGTTAATAAATACATACTAGAGCAAGGATGAGGAGAATTTGATGATGGAATTAGACAACAGTGGTGGGTAGGTGATGTGGAGTTTAAACACCAGCATATCAGTCGAGTTAAACAGCCCGTCTCTGTGCTGAGTACTGACATGCTGTGTGGGATGGAGGAATTGGAAAATACAGCAAGATGCCCATGTGTCACCTGACTAATAGAACTTTCACTCTTTTTGAAATCAAACTATGAATTATTTAGAGGTTGACAGTGATAAAAAGTATGCTGTTAGCAATTCTACCACTAAAGATAAACATATTAAAGTTCCTTTAATATGCACCTTACATGAAACACAACATGCTTTTTTTGTCCATCACCTGATCCATTTTCAGAAGTGCACTGGTCTGCTTTGAAGTACATGTACCGTGTCAATCCCCTGGCCTTCCCATTTTCATCATATTCACTGTCTGTCCCGGAATCCTCCTCTGCCGTATCCCATGTTTCCTTCTTCCCTTCATTGGCCTTTGAGCGGCGGCTGTATGTGATGCTGTGAGAGTCCAGCCCATTTGTCAGGGGCATAGGTGCTGTTTCTGCATTGCACAAAGTGTCACTGCTGTGGCTAGAGCTGAGGATATCACTATCCACGGAGCTCGTGCTTCGGTCATTGTTTACATCAGAATCTGACCGTTCTTCTGACTGGAGTGGGGTCTCTGGACCAGAGGAGGGAATCCGGTTTTCCAGTTCCCTGTTGTCCACAGAGGTTGAAGAGTCAGCCTCTTGTGATGGTGACTCAATGGTTTCAAAATCACTGCCTTCTGCACTTTTGAGACCATCACCATTTTCTCCTGGAGTGCAGGACGACTGCTGTTGCTGTAGCAATGACAAGTTCTTCAATTTCTCTGTGCTTTCTTTTAAAATGGCTTCCACAGGTTTTCTGTGGGTTGGAGACTCTTTCGCACATTCATAGCTGTCCTCTTGGCTGCCTGGATCCCCTGCAGCTTTTTGGTGATGATACCTTAGTCCTTGGGACCCCGGTGACTGTACTGGCAATGAAACATACAGTCGAATTGTATTGGCATGCTGGTCTAGTAGATGCCACAGTTGCGACTCAGTGAAAGTTGTTTGATTATCCTGGATGTCTGAGCTTTCAACAAATATCTAGAATACATTAAAATTAAAGTTAGCATGGATTAAAATCACTGGTGTGCAAGCACACCAAAAATAAAATTAAGGCAACAAAAAAGTTCATAAAACTCAAAATCAGATGGATTTCTTTTTAAGATGGTACATTCCACATGCTTAACATTGAGAGGTCAGCTGTGACTCACTCAGATGCACTCGCACCATTGAGGTGGAAGGTTATGGGCTCAGGCACCATTCTCAAGATTTGAGCACAAAATCCAGGGTGATACTCTCAGTGCCAGTACTGAGGGAGTGGTGCACTGAGGTGTTGCCTTTCAAAGGTAAAAGATCCCATGCTGTTATTTTAAAGAACAAGAAAACTGTTTCTTTGCTGATATTAATCTGTGCAATATCAAAATTGATTATCTAGTCATCATTGAAATGATTTATGTGTGACACTGCACAAATTGGCTGCCCCATTTCCTACAACAGTGATTACACTGAAGAGTACTTTATAGGCTGTAAAGCGCTTTGAGATGGTCTGAGGTCATGAAAAGGTGCTATAAAATGCAAGTCTTTGTTTCCACATTTGGATGCTGCCTGTGGTACATTCAGCAAGATACCAAATGCTCTGCTTTTCCTTGGTCTACACTGCACGGATTTCAAGGTAATGCTCAATCCTTTCTAAACATATCTAATTAGAGGTTGAAAACGCTTGATTTAAGCTTCCCAAATAGAAATGTTTGGAATTGTGTATGATCTTACATTAATACAGACTATAATTCAGTGCATTAGGCAACTAGCTACCACCCAACTTAATCTCAAACCAAATTAATCATAATGTTTTAGCTTAAAATATGATATTTTCCTCTGGCCAGACAGCATTTCACAATTTAATTTTATATTTTGGTTATCAGACTAAAATCATGTGCCAAGGATGTTGAAAGTGGTGCGAAATTGGAAGGGGCACTGGCCACAAACTTTCAGCCTTTCCTAGTCTCAGACGTGGTGCCAAAAGACTGGAGAGTTACAAACATCACGCTGTGTAAAAAGGCTATAGGATAGGTCCAGCAATTACAGATCAGTTTAACTTCAGAGGAAGGAAGCTTCTAGAAATAATTATTCAGTATAGAATTAGAAGTCGCATGGAAAAGATGGGTTTTAGAAGAGCTAGCATGTGTTTCTAAAGGGAAAATAGTATTTATCTAACTTGGAGGAGTTTTTTTTTGAAGAGGTAACAAAGGGGCAAAGACAGTATTGCACTTAGTGTGGTGTACATTGTCTTCCAGAAGGAATTCAAAACCGTGCCACTTACAGACTTGTGAAATGTCTAGGTCATGGAATAAAAGGACATGGAATAAAAGGACAGTAGCAATAGGGATACAAAATTCACTGAGTGTTAGGATGTGGAATAATGTTCAGTGGACATTTTTGGGCTGGAGGAAAGTTTGTAGTGGAGTTCCCCAGGGCTACTGGGTACTGGGATCTGTACTTTTCCCTGATCTATATTAATGACCTAGATTTTGGTGTGTAGGAGACAATTTCAAAGTTTGCAATTGATACAAAACTTCGAAGGAAGATAGTGCAGATCTTCTGAACAACACTGACAGATTGGTAGAATGGGCAGAGAGGTGGCACAAAGCTCAATGCAGGGAAGTGTAAGGTGATGCATTTTGATAAGAAGTACATCAACAGAAAATATAAAGTAAGGGCTAAAATTCTAAAGGGATGTAGGAACAGAGGAACTTGGGTGCATATAAGAACAGATCTTTTAAAGTGGCAAAACAGGTGGGAAGAGCAGATAGTGAAGCATACAGCAGGTCTCTATTAATAATGCCTAGAATACAATACAAGTGCAAGGAGATGGTGTGAAATAAAAGCAAAATACTGCAGATTCTGAGATAAAAACAAAGTGCTGGGGAAACTTAGCAAAGAGAAACAATGTCAACATCCAGTCCCATGACTTTTTTTAGGAATGCAATGAAATTCATGGAACTCAGTGCTAACTTTGAGGTGATGCTTGTATAAGACGAATGGAATATTGTGTACAGTTATGGGTGCCACACTACAGGACGAATGTGAATACACTGGCAAGATGACAGAAGAGATTTACAAAAATGGTCCCAATGATAAGAAACTTCAGTAATGATGATAGATTGGACAGGTTGGGACTGCTCTCTCTGGAGAGAGAAAGGCTAAAATGAGATATGATAGAAATCTTCTAATCATGAGGGGGTTGAAGAGATGAGATAGGCAGAACTATTCTTGCCTGTAAAAAGATGAAAAAGTGATTTGCCAGAGAAGCAACTGTGATGAGAAACATTCATGAGTGGTTTGGATCTGGAATGCACTCCTTGGAAGCTTGCGGAAGGCAGGCTCGTTTGAGAAATTCCAGAGGGCATCGGATGATTATTTTAGTAGAAACGACGAGAGAAGGTATGAGGAAAAGGCAGGAGAATGCTACTAAATCATAATGCTCACTTGGAGAGCTGGTGCAGACATAATGAGGTAAATGGCCTTGTCCTGTGCTGTAACATTTATGAGATTCCTTGATAAGTTAAGTTATTGTACCTGTCCTGCTGGTATTAAATTGTTTAAAATTTTGATTCACCACCCAGAACAACTGCAACAATCTAGCTCCCTCCAGTTAGTTCTGCAACATGCAATTGACCCATTTATTGCAAAACTCACTTTATAAACTCACCTTATTACTCCTGAAGAACCCTTCTGCCTTCAGTGTTTTGTTAGGTACAGAAAGCAACCGCAAATCATTGCAACAACGTTCCAGTACGATACGCATTGTCTCACAGGAGAGGCCTGTGGCCTAGGATCAAACAGAAGACATGGTCCCTATCAAACAACAGTTTTTCAGAACAGCACATTCTTTTAAAGCTGAGGAAAATCCCACAAGTTCTTGTTATCATGCTTTGACGTGTAATTACAGGAATGATATCAGTCAAGGGATATAATATAGAAATTCTGTTCCTTAGCTTAACCCCACCTGTGGGGTGTTTCATGACAAACTGGTTTATTATTTGAGAACTTAACATTTTATTCTGATATACCACACAATGCAGTAATTAATATCCTGGAAAATGCATTATAAACTTTAACTGACCACATTATTGGCAGACCTTTATGAGATGTGAACAGCTGCATTCACACAAACAATCATGCATATTTAACATACTTAAAAATAAAACTGCTGATCCACACTGGTACATTGTGCTATGTTCTAACAAAACTATTAAGCTTAAGAGTTACTCACTAGAGAACCAACAGCATGAGGTATTAAAGCAACTGATTGCTATATTAAAGGGGGTTGAAAAGTTCCAAGATACATGCATTTTCAGGAGATATTTCAAGATCATTGTCAAATTGGCATTCTATTTTTAATCTTACTCAATATGATTCAAATTAGAAGGAAAGTTTACGGTTAGATAATCATTTGAGAAACATTCATTGCTTATGAAATTATTTAGGTAAGTCAGAGTGAAATTGCACAAGTAATTGATCAGGCTGATAAAACTGGACCTATGTACAAGTCAGTTTCTAAATTCTCTGAGCTATAAAAGCTTACTTTATCACGTGAGACATATCAAAGCAAAATTAAGCTCATCATTTTCAAAACACTGGATAAATTATTTTGTTAATGAGTTTTGGTGATGTGAATGCTCAGAGCGCCACTCACTGGACAAAGATCGTTCTAGCATGACACTGTTACAAGTAGAACAGACTGCTGCTCCTGACATCTACCAACGAGACTATCAAGTACGGTCCACTTGCTAACCAATCAGTATTCTCTTCTCATTCAGGAAAAATTTTGCTTTCCATTTACATTGGCTTTCCTTGCAAATTTCGCTCCGACAAAAGGTGTGTTTTTTCCAAGAATACAGTTTAGGGTATCAGATTGGAGTAGACAAGTTGGACTGAATGGTTTGTTTCCACGTTGTATAACTCTAACTCTAATACAGAATATACTTGCAACGAATTAAATCCTCAACATGATTACTTTATGGCATAAACTAGTGGGTAATCTAAACTAAATAGCATTGGGTTAGCAGGTCAGTCACTGAGGAGACCGTTTTCTTGAAACTCAAGGTGAAAAACCAGACTAGAAGCACAGTAACGTGGCACTGGGGAACTGGATAGAAGAGGAAGGGACGGGGCGAGGGAGGGAGGGAGGGACGGGGCGAGGGAGGGAGGGACGGGGCGAGGGAG